ATATGTCGTGTGAAAATTGACAAGCGATAAATTTTGCACAATACAATATTTCACACATAATTGGCAACGATATCGCGTGATATGTTGTGATATGTTCAATGTTGTGATGATTATCGTGGTGCAAATTTGTTTTTGTCACAGTTAATTCGCAACTGTTCGAATAGATTGTTAAATGTATCTATTTGATGTAATAATTTCTCCAAATAGTGTTGTCTCGTCAGCTCATTATTTCATCATTTGGTTTAATCAATTCTTAATTTGGAGATCTAAATCAATATGATGAATACTTTAGATTATCAAAGCAAAAACTGCAAAGTAATGATTAATTTTTGGGTCATGATAATATACGTAATAGTTGAATTGATTAAAATTGACCGCCTTAATAAAACAAGATGTTAGATGTTATATTTTCAATAATTGCAATATTATTTTCTATTTTGCAAAATACGATTATAACATATTCATAAATCTTAAAATGTTTCTAAAGCATGTGCCTAACTTTTAGAAATTCATATTTAAACCTACGCTTATTTAACTTTGAAAACTGCATTTTTTGATATAAAATAAAAGTCGAGACATTTTTTGAAATTAAATATTCTAGTATTATTGCATTATGAAACACAATTTACCATAAGCTTGGTGAATAAGAATTAACTTTTTCTTACTTGCTACTCAAAAGAAATTATTTGAGGAGATTAAGCGCATCTGTCGACGCGCCGTTCTCTCGTGAGAAAAATGCGAGACGTTATTCCGCCAGACTACCTCTGAGAAAAATTCTACGAGGTGGTTTATGCGGGTGCATTACATCCGCGAGTACATCCTCGATCGCGCAAGGTCAGCGTGCTGGAATAAGTCGGGGGATTTTTTTTCCTTCAAAAGACGCGCGCGATATGTATCGTTTTCCGTGCTCGAAAGCCCAGTCTCTGGCTGCCTCAGCTGAAGGGAGTCACTTAATACGTTTCGAGGAGGAGGAAGAGGGATTAGATATCGTGTTTCGTCGGACTTAACCGTATAATGTAGGCTTGTAGACCGGCGGAGCATCTGCTCCCAGGCCGCAGGCCCTCGACTTCTGTCCCTCCGAGAGGAACTCGAGGTCTCGACTTCTCGAGACAGGAGAGGTCGCTGGGGAGATGACTGGAAGATTGGAAACAGCCAGCGAGGAAGAGAGCCATCGCGCGCGAGCACACCAACGGGTTGCAGATGTGTGCGGGCGGAGGCTACGACCGATATAAGGATGGCACACCGGCGAGTCAATTCAATACGTATCGCTAACGCGATTCAGTTGTCAAGAAGTCATTCGGGGAGCTCGAATAGGTATCGAGTGTGATACTAAAATGTAACATCGATACATGTTCGAATGGTTATTGAACTAAACCTGGATATATCCGCACAAAGCTAAAAAGTGCCGTACAGATGTTTCCTGGACTTTTGTGTTATATTTAGAGAATACTATAAAATCGAAGATCTTGAAGTTAATGCAATGGTGACTCGATTCGTGACATTATGAATTTAAATATATATTAAAAAAATAAATAAAATTGTGAATAATCGTAACTCTGAATAATAGTAGATATCACTTGCTTTCGTTATTAATTTGATACATTTGTTTGCGAAAAGTTTGATCCCATTGTCGATAGATGGGATCGAGATGTGTGTTGCGCATTCATGGCGTGTCTCGAATTTGAGATGGTCTCTCGGATACGTGTGTTGCGGTATCGGGAAGTTGCCGGGATTGCAAACTGTTACGCGAGCTGGTTGCGAGAGATTGTCGACGATGCCGGATCCGTACGTTGTTAGAAACAGTTGCCGCGTGGTGGATTGAGTTCTTGAAAACACGCTGCGGTATTGTCTTCCTGCGAATACGCGCGCGAAGATACTCTGCAGTTTGTGCCGCTACGCTAAGGGACATATGCGAACTTGTTGTCGTTGCGTGTGATGGCAGAAAATTCATATGCTATTAACGCAACAGTTGGTAGAATAATGGATGAGTGCTTTTAGAAGTACATTACAGCGTCTGTTTGCAACTGCACGAGGGATTAAAAAAATGCAAAAAAAATAAGAGAGATCTAGGCGACATAAAAACTAGTTAAGATCGCGCGAAATGGAAATTTAAGTGAAGATGTGTATTCTACTTTACAAAATAATGTAATATCATAATACGTTGTGAGTCAAGACTTGTGTTAAGCCACAATACGCAGCTGAAGAATATTATTTAAATACTGCATCTTTTCTAAAAATAATTTTATCATTTTGCTTTCGCCGATTAATTGCGTTCTACTTATGCGCGCAACTTTTATTGCAGCAAAATTTTTCGATCGCATTACTAGTTTAATAGAACTTTTGATTGATTAGAAATCCATATTGCAATTGATATCAGTCATGTTAAAATTTTTCCACATCGCATACTTTTGATTGATTAGAAATCCATATTACAACTGACATCAGTCATAGTCCAATTTTTTTTATATCTTCCGGCACATTTGCATACATTTCTTCTAGAAATCGATAACTCAGTTAAAAATATAAATCGACGTCTTTTATTTCGCACGATATTATAGCGGAGGCAAGAATATAGTCCAATATTGTGGGTCATGTTCCAACCGCACTATATCACAAAGACAGTTATGCTCGCACATTTCTTTTTTTTTGTGCGGCCGTCGGAGTGGTTTTGAACTTAAACGAGCCGCGGCTGACCTCACATCCGGTTCTCTTGGGGCGTGAATGGAATCAAATGGAACGGAGGGTTACTAAATGACAATGGTCAACTCGTACGCGCCGGTTCTTATTTCCGGTACAACGTTGCGGACATTGTTCATCGTATCCTGCGCGGAGTATGACAGCTAAAGGCGCGTTGCTCGTTACATTTTATTGGACAGTTCAATTGCTTTTGGCAACAACACATTCTTGTGACATATTATTTCATCGAGCTAATGTACCCTAAGAAATTTGATAAAAGATATATCAGTCAAAAATTGAATTAAATAAAATTATTTATGTCACATTATAAATCCTATGTAAATCTTAACGTTATTTACGTCTTTTATATTATGCTTTTGCATATTTCATATTCTTACATATTGTAATGGCCAAATGTTAAGCGATTCCAAGCCTATTCTTCCCGATAATTCAGAAATGGGTTTCTGATCAAGCACACGCTGACGACGCCGGATATCGGAGACATCTTTCCGGCGATATCTGAGATAACTTGTGTACTTTGGGACAAAGTTAAAGTCGTATGAAGCCAAAAATGCAATTGCACACATTTTATGATAAAAAACTGTCATCAAAAAATTATTATTGTATTATATCCAAAGTAATCCAAGAGTAAAACGGATAAATTGAAAAAATCAAGATTATGGTATCAAATATACATATATCTTTATCAAGAATTTAAAAGACGAATGTTCCCCAAAGTCTTTACTTTTTACCGGCCTAATCTCATGGGAAATCTCGATTTTCGAGCGCCTCTCGAAAGCACAACAACTCTATCATTTTTAACAGTGCTCTTTTTGGAAGTTAATTGAGATGTAAACGCGTTGCGAGGTAAATGCAAGCTCATAAAAATTGAAATTGCACTGAAAAATTTGTTTCAGGAGTTTCCATAAACATGAAATTACCATTCATATGACCCAATTTGCACTATTTTACATGCACTTGTATCTTCACCTTTAGAATTACAGTATTTTTCCCTTCTCAGAATATTATCATAATACCGAAATTGCAAGCGTTTCGTACAATGCCGATGTTATGCGAATGATAACAGTAGTCTCACAATAATTGCACGTAAAGCGCAAGATTAAGATGGACGCATTTTGAAAAGATATATGAATTTATATCATATTCAGAGAGCTTAACTATTCATACCGCGTTACGCGTAGTAACATTAAAGCTAAATTTATATAATCCTGAAGATTTCAGTAATATATAATTAACACAGCGGATCTTGTTACCGTGTTTAATATTAATTGTAAAAATAAAAGTACTATATTCCGATAAAGTATGAAATAGAATATCGCGATATCCTACATTTATGACGATCTACTGAAATTTAATTCGTTAGTTGAAACCATCTAGAGATATTGCAACATCGGAATAGATTCTACTTTTAGTTAACATTTTTATTTCTATAATAGTTTTCTTATATAATAGGTTAAAAACTGTAATAAGTTTCGGAAAAAAGATGACAAAAGTGAAACATCTAATACGCTGCGCAACGAATTATGCCAGGAAGCGATCGTTAAATGCACGGTATAGCCGGCTGTAGGGAGTGCTCGAAAATAAAATTAAGGTTAATTCGTCGCGTCGATCCTAATACGTAACACGAGTTATGCGCTTTTGCATTAATGACGTTACATTGAGGGCTTTCTCACGTTGCGACCGATGCGCGTATAATTGCACGCGAATAAATGCCGCCGCAGCAGCGTAAATTGTTCACGCATAATGAATTTACGCTCGGCTGTTCAAATTTCAAATGGAATGATTGAAAATGCATACAAAGTCACCGGAAGCGTTCAAATGCGAGCATTAGCCATCACAGCCTCATTACGGCCACGTCAGTCCATCTGTTTCATAGTTGTGTATCTGTCACGCCAATGTTGCGAACGTATCATCAAACTTAATAAGAAAAATTGCTAATTTGCTCAAAAATGTGCTAATTTCTGTTAATTCTTAGTATCAAGCAGATTTTTTTCTTACTACCATTAAAGAGTAATATTATTAAACTGATAATATTTTATACATTAATAATATTAAATTATATAATTAAATGCTCTTTTAACATAATCATTAAAATGTATTTGTGCAATGTTCATCGCATAAAATGATTTATTTCTTGAATCAATGGAGAATTAAACATTTACGATTTAAATAATATTCTAATGCCAAATCTTCAAGTGATTCTTTGAAACTCCTAAATATGTCGTTTATTTCTCAACAAGTTTAGTCGCTAAAATATTATGTCTCATGTTCTCAACTAATAATTTTCTGTCGTTTACTTTCAGTTGGCGTTAGCACTGATGCTCTAGTAAAAGTAGCGGCGTATTGAGAGAAAGAGAGAGAGAGAGTGTGAGCAGAGCAGAATGTGGCGCGCACAGATCGTCGTCTTCCTACTGGCAGCCACTTCTGTCACCTATGCCAAGGTGGCTGTGTTGCCGCACGATGTCTACCCCGGTTACGAGGTGACGCAGTTCGGGAGCGATGCGGGCCATGCCTCCAACTTCCGCCTCCTGGAGACTGGCTTCTCCAAATACTTCACCGTGCTGGGCAACGGTCTGGTGATGACGACGTCGGATTTGACGCCGCTGGTGGATCATCCAGTGAACCTGATCGTCCTGGAGGAACTAGCCAACGGCACGCAAACCCACGATCTACATCTCTACGTCATCAATCGTCGGAATATGTTGACCTTCTCGCACGACCGTCTGGGCGAGGGTGAAGTGCCGGAAAACGCGCCGGCTGGCACATGTATAGACGGCTTTCCCGTTCTGCGGGCGCGCGGCAGCTTCCCGGTTCATTATAAAATCCTGCCGGATGACAACGGAGAACGCGCGTTCGCTTTGCGGGAAAACGAGTCCCACAAGACCGGCTTCAATCTCACTCTAAAGAGTCAAAAGCAAGGACTGCAGGTGGTCACCGCAAAGCCGCTGAATCGCGAGATTCGCGGGATTTACACCGTTGTGATACACGCGTCGGACGGTAATTTCATCAGCACGTCGAAGATTAGCGGCCTCGTCCACGTGCTGGACGAGAACGACAACAGTCCGATCTTCGAGCGTGAGCTCTATGTCTTCATCATCAGACCGACGTATTTCGACACGCTGTTGAAAGATAACGTGGCAATGCCCAGCTGGAAGAGGTTCTCCACGGTGGGCAAGGTCACGGCTAAGGACGCCGACGGGGACAAGGTCGCGTACAAGCTGGTCAGGCCTAGCAGTCTGCTAATCGTCGTGCCTCAGACCGGCGAACTATTGTTGGCCGGCGAGCCGGGAGTGATTCCGGGGCAGGACAGCGAATACGAGCTGGAAATCGAAGCGCACGATCTACGCACACCGAGTCGCAGCACCGAGAAACCGGCCACGGTCATCTTGCGGTTTCTCACCTCGGAGTTGAACGACGAGTCACCGGAAGTACACCGGATACAGAAAAGGAGGGTCACTAGAGCGGTGCGACCGACGAAGAAGGTCGATTTCACGGAGGCGGACGGAAGCACCGAGGGCAAGATTGCGTTTTATCTCGAGAAGGAGAACGAGAAGGAAACTTACAAGATAAGGGACGAAAACAAGTGGGTAACCGTGGGCGCGAATGGCTCTGTCATGGTTAAACAGAAGTGGGATTATGAGGAATTAGGTCCGGAAAAGACCATTGATTTTTGGGTGACGATCACGAACACAGGTACAGGTACTATCACGAAACATTTCTTCATCTTTACATACGGTAGAAACCTTCCATCAATATGGATTTTTTTAATATATGAAGAGTATTTTAGAGCTTCTTAATTTTATTATTTTATCATTGCAATAAATATTTAGAAATATTTTAAAAGTTAAGAATATATTTTATATTTAATTTTTCGATTTTTCTTATGTCGTTTATTTAATTCATTTTTATTTGTCGCTGTTCCACGTGAAGATCCGTGCGCGCGATATCCACCCGGCCTTCCGTGCCCATTTCCGCCCGATGGTACATTTTTATTTCGATAAGTATTGCCTGAATTAGCATCAAGTGGGCCCTTTTCGTACATACATTCACGCTTCCTTCTCCGCATTCATGCTATGTCTTTTTCTTTTGGGATATTTTTAAAGGCTGCGGTATTTTTCATTTTCGTGGATAAGAGCATTGGCATCAAGCATAATTTGTAGTGGTATAGATTAAAAATTGTATATACGGCAAAAAATATTTCAGGATATCCAGCATAACTTATATTTTTAACATCTAAGTATAATTTCTAACAAGTTTTGATTATATAGAAAGTAATATTCTATACCAATGTATTGTAATATAAAAATCATTATCAAAGAGAAAATCATTCTTTTCACATCAATTGCGATTTTTGATAAAATATTGTTGCCGTATATACTCGTCACACATGTAATATTTCTCGTAATAATTATAACTCTTTTTTTTTCTCGCATCATCGGCTTCCAAAGGATTTCAATGTAAGTAGCAATCCATATCGCAATATCTTTCACATTATATTTGCCTATGTCTCATAAAAGCGAAGAATTTCTCAGTAAAAGCACCTTTTTCTCGCTCACACGCTTCTCGTAGCATTTTCTTGAAATTACAGAATAAATTACTGTTCATTAATCAGCGCTGCAGCGAATGCTATTTGCGAACGAAACTGAAAATATATACCTATATTTGCTTAAGAAGGAAATACGGAAAGCAGATAACGTTGAATTTTAATTGGATTTCTCGTTTTGTATGTGAAGTATAACTATATACCAGCAACACGAAGGAATATAACATCTGTACAATCATAATTCTTCCTCTACAATATATATTTCTATCAATTCAACTCAGTATCTCGATAACATAAAGGAAAATGTAAAATAGAAAAAAATATAGGTATATATATTCGCTTGTATAACTTCAATTTTTAGCCATTATTTATTTTTTTATACGATTAAATATTATTCCAAATTAGATTTCAAAATCTTTGAAATTAATTGTAATATAACATTTTATCAAAAAAATAACATTGAAATAGCATTGCAACAGCAATTAAAATTCCATAACACGCAAGTGGTGTATTGGCAATGTTGTTCTACAGTATAATAGTTCTCCTGGCTACGCGCATACGATAATCGATGTGACGTTATAGATACCGACAATCAGCGTGTCATCATCAACATGAAGGATGTGAACGACGAGCCTCCGTATTTCATTAATCGGCCTCTACCGATGCAAACGGTCGTTCAGCTGAACGCACCGCCGAACACTCACGTGTTCACCCTTCAAGCCAGGGATCCTGACACCGATCACAACATCCATTACTTCATCGTGCGAGACCGAAGTACGTAATAATGCGAGTAATCGAGATTCGATATTTTTCGAGCATTAACGCTCAAGCACTAATTCACGCTTCACGTATCGATGATAATGTAATACCGCTGATATGTATGAGTAATCAGATTAATTTCAACATAAAAGGATGAAATATACGCGGAATACTTGATCCTTCTAGAAGTTTGATTCGATAATTGTAACAGCAGTAGTCCATTTAATCCATGAATATTCATGTGAATTGTTTTTAATGTATATCGAATTTGAAAAACTAGATTTAAAAAGCAATTTTCAATATCTCTTCGTGTAGCATCGCAAAATTCAATATAACTCTGCTTTGATCGAGTAATTGATACTTTACGAAAAAAATTTAAACACAAAATTATGAAATTAGAAATATTTTCGCAGGAAGTTTCTCTTTATCCCGTTTTCACGCCCATCAAAATTATTCGTGCAGCTAAATTCTATAACTATGTTTACATTATGATATTTACGTACTTGGAGACAATAATTTTTATGAAATTAGCTTGTCATGAGCTTAATCGAATTAAATAACTTGTGAAAACCCTAAAGTATATGTCCCGAAAAATAGTTAGTAGTAATATTGATTCTTTATATCAACATTTCGAAGGTTTTTTGAGGAATTATTGTTAGTATAATTAAATATAATTATTTCGTTACAGAAAAGAATTTATATATTTTTGTATCAACAGAAAAAATGATATACGAGAACTGTTTTGTTAAATGTAAATTACTATCAATTAAAAAGACTAATTATCTCATTTGTGTAAGTAAAATATCAATTGAGTTTAATATTGAATTTTTCATTAAGCAGAGAAATGTGTTCTGTCAAGCGAACAATAGTGTTTCATTAATTACGAGAGAAATATGTGTTGGATTTAACGTGCAACCGCCATGTAGAAGTATGCAAAACGCATGCGGCCTAATTATTAATCTACATGCGTTGACGTAAAATCGCGTATTGTTCTCGTCGAAAATGCGGCCGATGATTACAACGGTAACCCAAGATCGTATTTCGCAATTTTATAGAATAATATCGTAATGACGCCATTATGCTGAACGCTTTCCCGCAATGATCGCGTTTCGATATCATAAACAATTTTTATTGCGCGCTATGATACGAAATATACCTGTAATTCCACGCTGCGCCATTAATACGATGCGCTACACATTAAATTCGCAAATAATAACAGCTTAAGTACTGTCAAATGTTAACTGAAATTTGCGCGTTTGTAATTCTTGATAAATTCCCAATGTTTGTTAATTGGATAGAAATTTTGTCTTGTGCATAAACTCAATTACTATTCCAATCTGATTATAATGTGTTATAAAAAAATAATATAAAAAAAGTTAATTCATTCTCTTTGTAAAGTTAATGTTTCATTGTGTGCCATAAACGCTGTTTTTTCAAATTTCTAATTTCAACCTCTATTCTTTTTTCACGTTTACGGATTCTGGAGGTTTTATTTATATAAAAATATGTATGTACATATTGTATTGTATTTGCTCCTATTTTGTACCTCAAATAGGCAGTAAACGAACTGTTTCCCATTACGAGGTTTAAAAGAGGAGTTTCGGTAAAGAGTCAGAGGTTAAATAGGTTCAAGATAGGGTGACTGCTTAAAGTATCAAATTAGGTGTTAGATTGAACATTTTGGTCGAAAGTAGAAGAAAAATTTCGACTCGGGTACGTTATAAAACCGCACTTTACGATTGCTTACGTCATTATTTAATAATTCAAATCATAATTAAAAATTGCGATAAGACTATCGCGTAATTAATGCGAAGCCTCTGCGGGATTGACAAGACTAACAGAGATAATATATCCGAATAGCCTTTAATCAACGTAATTAATTAATTAACCATTGTGCACGCAGCTGGTGGTCGCTTTGAGGTCGACGAGAGATCGGGAGTCGTACGTACTCGAGGTACCGACCTCTTCCAGCTGGATATGGAGTACGTCCTTTACGTGAAAGCCGAGGATCAGAACGGTCGTATCGACGACAGGCGTTTCCAGACGACTCCTGAGGAGAGACTATCGATCGTCGGCGGAAAACGCGCACCACAGTTCTATATGACGGCATACGAGGCCGAGATACCGGAAAACCAGAAGAAAGACTCTGAGTTAGTTCGCAAGTCCAGTTAATTAGTTAATCTGTCCAGATTCGAGTTTGTTTTATTAAATTATTTATTAAACGATAGATCTATTATTTTCATGAAATTCTATATAATCACTAACAACTCATAAAATTAAAAAAAAAAAAAACAGTTTGTACATTTGTAAAGTCGTTAATCTAAAACAATAACTGGGTGAAGCAATTACTACAATTAATTTTGTTGACATTGTAAATTATTACATTTTTAGTATAAATAAAATAATATCGATTCTCTTTTGCAATCTATTCGGAAAAATAACAATGTACAAAAATGATATAATTATTTTTCCACGTTCAACTTGTACATTCTTTTATTTGCATTTTTGTTAGTGCAAGATTGTTTGCACTGGAATATCGTCACTGTTTGATTTCAGTTTACAATTAGTTTACATTCCGAATTGTTTGCCTTCGGGTCAGTTGACTTTTCCAAGTCCGATCTGAATTCGACCGAGTTACCATCGCGTGACAAACAAGATAAAGATTTTTTTTGGAATTTATTACACCCCCACTTTTTTTACTTCCGAGCTGTCGAGTTTGTGGGATGTTCGTGCGAGTGTCACGTGTTGGAACTTTTCAGCATAATATCGGTGAAAGCCAAGTCGTTTGCCGATCGAGAGATACGCTACACGCTGAAGGCGCAAGGTCAAGGAGCCGCGGGAACATTTAACATCGGCCCGACTTCAGGAATTGTGAAACTTGCGAAGGAACTGGATTTTGAGGATCTGCGACAACCCCATATTTATTCTCTGATAGTGACAGCGACGGAGGACTCCGGCGGTTTCTCGACGTCGGTCGAGGTAACTAGATTTATGTTTCTTAAACTTTGTTGTTACCACGAAGAATAACAATTTTCCCGTCGTCGGAAAATATTACGCACCCAGGATCTACGTACATGCGATTTTCTCCTTACTTGTTGAATATAACAAGTTGCTTTCTCGGGATGTTAAATAAACGTTAAAAAATACATTTCACTATTTACTTACGATGGGCGTTTATTATTCTACTATTGTACTTGATTTTCTTTTCAGCTAACAATTCGAGTATCGGACGTTAACGATAACGCTCCTAAGTTCGAGCTACCGGATTATCAAGCTCACAATGTCGACGAGGATATTTCGTCGGGGACAAATATATTGAGAGTTAAAGCAACCGACGCCGACTCGGGCACAAACGCGGAAATAGAATATTTCGTATCCGACGATCACTTTAGCGTGGATTCCAGCGGTCTCATTCGCAATAACAAGCAGCTCGACGCGGACAATAATAACGCTTATTACGAATTCACCGTTACTGCTAAGGATAAAGGTAAGTCATAGAGAAATATTAAATTGCGCAATATGCTTGGATTCAAAAATACAACGTGATCCGAATTGTTAAAGAATATTTTAATTGTATAATTAAAATAACCCTATCTCATATAATTAAAATATAATTTTTCTTTAAACCGAATTATCTTGATAAATTCTTTTATTTAATTAAATTCAATTTTTTATTAGCATATCATTGATTGATCACGTTCGCGGAAAGTTAAAGTTCTTTGAGATTTGTGTTGTGTGTGTGTGTGTGTGTGTGCCGCTTTTTAAAAAACGTACCCAAAAAATATTCTAAAATACTCCAAACTAGATACTCGTATTATCTGAAGATTTAGTGACGTAGAGAGATTGGGTCGCCTTTACGCCTCTGTCAGCAAACCGAGGATCAGCTCTTAGCAGCTAAATCTCACAGATTTGATTTTCAAACGAGCTCCAAATCCCCGTCTCGCGCCGCGCGGGATAAAGCTCGTACAAATTTGTATTATTTGCATATATAACGGTGCGAATGCGGGACGATTTTCAAACGGGTCACGACTTAATTGGAAATAAAGCGGTCGAATTGGCACAAATAACACGTGCGCTTTTATTTATTGCGTGCCCGTGCGTGCATTTCGTATCGCGAAATTTGACGTTACAATAAATATTGTCGTGTCATCATGCATACAAGCAGCATTCTGAATTTAATAACTTAAATTAATACACCGCGATTCGTAATGTGTTTAAATTAATACTGTCACTGTTACATTCGCGATTCATATTTTGTTAAGCAGTTTGCAAAATCACGTATCTCTCACGATTTACACAACTGTCGCATTGTTACCGCAAACTTTCAATTTAACAAAAAAAGCACACATATTTTATTAATTTTTAAACGTAATAATCTGATCGGTAATTTGATTAGAATATTTATGTGACAAAAACTAAAGAGTTTGCTTTGCAGGCGAGCCACCGAAGACCGGCACGGCGACGGTGCGGGTGTACACGAAAAACAGAAACGATGAAGAGCCCAAGTTCTCTCAACAAGTTTATACGCCTAACGTCGACGAGAACGCCGGTCCGAATACTCTGGTCACCACGGTGGTAGCTTCCGACAAGGACGGCGATAACGTGCGCTTCCGATTCGTCGGCGGGAATACCACGTCGGGGCAGTTCGTGATCGAGGAGATCACGGGTGTAATTCGTCTCCACAACAAAGAAATCTCTTTAGATCGGGACAAATATGAGCTGAACGTCACCGCGTTGGACGACGGCGCGTGTTGTCCAAACGGTGACCAGACTATTCACACTAGCACCGCGGTCGTCGTGGTCTTTATTACGGACGTAAATGATAACAAGCCGGTCTTCAAGGACTGCGGGATGTATTATCCAAAAGTGGAGGAGGGCGCGCCAAACGGCAGCACGGTGATCAAGGTGCAAGCTACTGACGAGGATAAAGGTGTCAATGGGCAAGTCAAGTACTCGATTGTACAGCAGCCCAATCAAAAGGGCACAAAGTTTACCGTTGACGAAGAGACCGGTCAAGTTTTGACCAACAAGGTACTTTTATTCTTTCATTAATCTTTCGTCGTCTGTTTTAAAATAATTGGAATATTATTGAAAAGCAACGAACTGAATCAAAAGCGCAAATATTGAAACGCAAAAAAAATATTACGAATTTAGATAGATATTTTTAAAAAAATATTTTTTATATTTTGAGATAAACTTTTATAACGTATATTTATCTAAAGAAAGTTTTTAACTTGTGAGATCAAAAAATTTTTAATAAAGTCATAAAAACATTGCGTCGATTGTATCGGAATATATCGGTTTGAAAAAATAATTCAACTTGTACTGGAGAGTACGTTTAGTCATTTATTCTGAACGCATTAAAAAGTATCTAGCAATCGCTAACTGCAGCATCTACTATGTTACTCCATCTTTTGTACATAGACCGTACGATAAACACGCAAAGCACTCAACACTCTAATTACCGTTCGTGTTTTGCGTCCATAAAGATCTCTAGTAAAAAGATATTAGTGCTACATATCTACTTCGTCATTTTTCACTTGTTTGCAATTCCTCACTTTTTACATCTATTTTACTACGTTCATAAGAAGTAATCAATACATATATTTAATTCAACCATCAAGTGTAAAGATAAAGGTCTAAAATAATTATTATATCTCTGAAAATATAATAAGGTTCATAAAGCTTAATAATTGATCGTTGACTTAACCTTTTAGCTTATTAATTATTATCGCATAGATTAACTTTTATTATATCATATTAAAAACAATTTTTAATTTTATCTTGCAAACTAGGTTTTCAAAGTATTAAAATTATTGCGTTCAGCAATAAACACGATGGTGTGATATTTTCAGGTATTTGATCGCGAAGGCGACGATGGGAAATTTGTATCCGTCACTGTCAAGGCAACGGATCAAGGCGAACCCTCGTTAGAAGGTGTTTGCTCATTTACCGTCGAAATAACAGATGTGAACGATAACCCGCCGTTGTTCGACCGTCAGGTGCGTACATTCAACCATACCCCGAAGGCGATCGTCTAGCGAAGTATTCGGCATGCAAATGCGAAAGCAGATGCCCGGAAGTAAGATCGTGCATGGCGGAACCACCAGCGGTGTCAATGTGTTATGCTTCGATGCGCGTAAATTCAAGACTGCCTCGCAGCGCGTTCTCAGAACTTCGGTTCGGGTTTCGTTATTTACTCGATCAAGATACATACATTGTCGTCTATCGATTTGATACATATACGAGGAATTTATGCAGCACAACAAGTGGAACAAGTCTATAATTTGCAAAGTCCGCAATATAAACTCATATCTAAAACGAATCTCATGAATTATGGACTTGGTCCACTTCTGCTTCAAACCCGTGTGTATCGTAGCATATATCTATATAATGTTTCACTTGCGTCGAACTTTCAGAGCACATTCTCATCAATTGGGTTTCCGAATTTGAACAATGTATTTGAAGGGAATTAGAATTTAAGCTATTACCTTACTATATCTCGTCTTGGTAATTAATACATTTTCAAAGCTCTCTTCAAACATATAACGTTAAAATAAAATGCTAAAAAATTTAAAGAATGAGATTTGAATTTCTCTATCTAATCGCGATCTTAAAATGTAACATTTTTAATATCTTACAAGTCTCAATTTTGAATAAAAAATTAACATATCGAATGTGTAGAAAAATCACTTGTCGTTCTTCTCTTGTAGAGATACGTGGAAAACGTGAAGCAGGATGCGAGCATTGGGACAAACATATTAAGAGTGTCGGCATCCGATGAGGATGCTGATAACAATGGCGCGATCGTGTACTCGCTGAGCTCGACCACGAATAAACAGAATCTGGAGTACTTTGAGATCCAACCAGAGTCTGGTTGGATCGTATTAAAGAAGCCTCTAGACGTAAGTATCCTCATTAAATCGCTGATTTACATATCGTCTCTCTTTAGCAGTATAAACAGCATATCGTTTTCCTGGAACACTCCCACTTTTTCGTGGGCGAGGCTTGTATTTTTCTTTGCGGCTTGCTAGCTTTTTTTGCTCTTGACGTCTTACGATACACTTATGATACTTCAGAGACCAGTTCTCAGTTCGATATCATTTGCAGCGAAGTGTTTATAAAGAGTAGCGCGAAAAATAATTGCTTCCAATGTTAACCTCGCGATATAATCGCGGATGAGATCCTGCGGATGCACTCGTCCCGAACAAGTGTCGCGTGTCCCAGGAATGTGTAGGCTACGTAGTATATTATATCTATTTATATATATATATACGTACATATATATATGATATCGTATAAATACAAAACTTAAGTGTACACCTTCTGCCGATATATTGTACGTTTGCGTTGACTTACGTTATATTTAACACGAATCCGTTTTGTTGCTGAGCGGATAAACTTGTATACTAATATACGTTTGGTCGGCAATTATTTCTCTCATCACTAATATGCAACGAAATGAGTTTCCTTTTTACGGCACATGTATAGAACTTTTTAATTCCCATTGATATGCACAATGTGTTCACTATGGTAAATACTTAGCTATGCCTGATTTCCTCAAACGCTTCATGTACCTGAATCGATCGACCGTTCGGGCTATTTTTGCAACAAAACACTCTCTCTCTGTCTCTCTCATTTTCTCTATTGAGAACATACTCGCGGCGCGAGTATCTTTTTAAACGATTCCAAACGAAGCTTTGATACCTCTTGTCCAGTTTTTTTATTCAGTCTTTTCGTCGAGAGTCGGTCGTCGAGTTGCGTGTTGAGTAATCGAGAAGACACGCGCGCGCGTGTGTAATATACCTTTTTTTTTGCCGTTCTTCTTTTTCTCTTCACTTAGATTTCCTTTGTTCGCCGTTTTGCCGCGTTTCTCCGGTTTTTCTGCCGCGATGTTAATCAATGATTTTCGATCGATTTGTTAAATGCCGACGCGCGTAATTTTGCAAAAAAAAGAAGCATGTGCGGATCGGCCCGTACATGCGTGCGCACGGTCGACCGAACGCGAACGTGTGCACTTTTCATACTTTTCCCAAAAGTAGCCACGAAAAGGATGTGTGTGATTTGTACGTGTTACGCGTTGGAGAAACGGGAAAAAAATGGAAAGGAAAGACGGTGATGAAACGATGATTGATAAGAGACATAGCAAAAGAAATGAAAACGTTCTGAGCAAACTAATAATCTTTAATTATCCAACTAACATTATTAATTATGAATGTTTTTCAAAAGGGAAGTGATGTTTTTTGAACTTCCAGGAGCAGGTGGGAACGACATTTTTTGAGCCCCACGTACGGTGTACTTCAACCTCTACGCATTTTGTGGTGCATCAGACATAAACAATTTTTGACAATGCTTGCATATTTTATATGAATGTGTTTTTGATTCCTTTACAGGAACGGATCTCGCTCTCGCTCCTACATCCATCCTTGCCCTACCTCTCACTCTTTCTATCTCTTCTATATCTATTTCTAAGTTCCGAATTTTTTATATTAAAATATTTTCTACATTTTTTTGGGTGCTGCATTTTGTTTTTTCTTGTTATATCAATGATTATTTTTGGAAGATTGCACGGTATTTTGTTATGTTGATTATTTTCTCGACAAGTTTTTTACTTTTCTATCTGTATCTCTTCGAATGATTTGTATGCTGGAGACAAAACCTGCATTTTTTGGTTTCTACCACTTTCTTTCGTTCACTTTATTTTATGTATTATTTATCTATTTTTATAAATCTTTTTTATATTTCTTCTATTTCTCTAACACACTTTCTTTCTGACGTTTCCCGATTTTCATCCCGCACTCCCGGTGTACCACGACGTGACTGACAAAGAAAAGGAAAAGAACACGAAATGTATTTTTGATCGAGAGCGTTTGTCAATGTATAGACATGTGTATATACATATGTGCATAGATCATAAGAGAATTGTCCGTGGTGTGACATTTTTTCTTCTGTGATTGGGGCGGCATACCACTGTCGTGACGAAAACGGGAAGAAATGCGAATGAAAGTGAACGGATGTAGTCACGGAATGAAAGGGAAGTAATCGGAAAAAAAATAAGCGTGCGTCATTAATTATCACGACAAAATCAGAAATAACGTCCATCGGTTTTTGAGTGTCGTTAAAACGAAAACGAATCAGACGAGGGGTCGTCATGATTTTTTTTTCTCCCCCAACCTTCCCCCCAAAAGCCTCCACATCACCAGCCCCCCTCTCTCTGTCCCCTCTTTCTTCCTCCCTCCCCATCCCCATCGTCTCCTCCCGATGCCTCTTTATCGCATTCTCGCTTGCATGCAAATGCCTGCATTGATTGATTTCGTAAAGGAACTAATTTGAACTTCTTATTGTTTATGTTTGTGTTCATTGCACCATTTACTTTCTTCGGATTTGATGATGACAAAAAAAAAAAGGGCTGTTTTCCAGTAAGTAGGATCTATATTCTTGTGTTTCACACCTTGCATCGAGACACATTATGATGTGACAGCATTGTTATACCTGCGCAAAAGAAGAAGTATAATATTTGTTGCAAATACTAGAGCGCCTTCCGTTCGATTATTCAACATTATATCGTTTCGATGATTTTTCGCATCTGTTGTTGTTATTATTGTCACTCGGAGACGTCACTCTCTATTCTTCTCTCTCTCTCTCTCTCTCTCTCTCTCTCTCTCTCTCTCTCTACTCTGCTCTTTTTTTCTCTTCTTGTCGCTAAATTTCTATAAAACTTTCTCTCTTTATCTAATCGTTACTTTTCGAGTGTTTTTTTTTTCCAAAAACTTTATATCACGCGCGATATCTTTTTTTATGTACATACACACGTGCTACCGCGCTATCTATTTTCGCTCTTTCGTCCTGGTCTCGTATGTATCCATAGGTGAAGGATTCCGCACCGTCGATGACCTAATCAATATGTTCTCACGCGGTGCGTGATATCCGACGGACGTTTGACAAGTGAATATCATAAATAATAGATTTGGGAATTTCTTATAAATTATATTAAAAAAATATTATTTATTTAAATTGTTGACTTATTAAACGTTTATATCAGCATTTGCATTAATTTGTCATCAATTTGGTTTAATAAAGCACTGAACGTGATCTGCCTTGCTGAAATTACATGACGTTATTTTTTATTTTTCACTCTGTATTACTAGCACAGCACTTTCTAATCGCATATCACACAGCAGCGCCTTTTTAGCATAAATCAGCGTGTTTCTCGATAGAATCAGAGTGTAGCTGTTTTACATATATCTATTTCGTCAACGTCCGTTGGATATCAAATGCTGTACAGGGATCTCGTTCCACTACTGGAACAGCTTCAATAATCACTTTTAATGTTCCAGGAAGCCGGTAATTCTCGTTACTAGAAATCTTATGAGATAGCAAGATCCCGATTATAGACAAAAGTGTTCGCAAAAAGCTCACTTGGAAACGAAGGACGCCGACTGTAGATTCGGTTTCCAAACGGTTAACCTGATACAGTGCTTTTGTTGACATAAATCGCGATATTAATATTCACCCTGTACGATCAGCGGGTGAATAGAATCAAAGATATTTAAATTGAATAATCAAAAATTAAGAAATTTCTTGTCAATTGTCTTTAAATTAAAAGTGTATTAATACACTTTATTCTATCAATTTTTCACAGTATGTAAATTTTGGATTACAATTTTCTTTATCTTAAATTTCTATTCATCCGCTGTTACTCTGTTATACTAGATGCTTTAGAACTATTTGCAGCTTTTAAAATATGGATTTTTTGATATCTCTAAATATTTTAATAACAATTTTTGTGATAATTGTAAAATAAAGAAATAATCGCGAGTTAAAGGTAAGAAAACATAACTAATTTATAGGTAATTTTATTTATCAGAGATATATATAAATATGTATTAAAAATTTATAAAACAAAAAGATATTAACTGTAATCAAAGAATCTATAGATGAAGAAGGCAATTCTAGAACATCTGGTATCTTCCGTTTTGGTGTTATCTCGGATGAATAAGGATAAGCACAGCAGTATTTCATCCAATAATTATTTATAATATTCAAGGCAATTCTTATATTTTTCTTTCGTTAAAATGAAAATTGTAGCGATTTATTACTTGCCTGGCCATAAAATTGTTGACAATTTTGATTTAAAATCAGAGTCACAAAATGTAAACGCACAGATAAAGTATTTGTCAACCAATTAATATTAATTAATACAGCAATGAACTCAAATATGCAAGCACATGCATTCGACAAGTAAGTATATCATTACATATTACATCGCCTACATTTGTTCATGATTTTACGCAATTTGCTTATTGATTTATCATATGTGCAACGATATTGTTATCGTTTTACTAACCAGCAGAAGTCGGCGATATAATATTTTCATCATTATTATCATCACCAGCATCATCATCATCATCATCATTGTTATCATAATCTTCATCACCATTGTATGCTGCAATGACTCACGTAACTATTCACGAGACCTCACCTCACGGCATGTTTGAGTTCATTGCAATAAATCTTGTCCTTGTAACCGTTATTACTATTTAGTGGGGGAACAGTCATTAAAGAAATAACAGATTCGTTTGTCAGATAGACAGCGAATCCATCGCCGAGATAACACGCAACGGAACAGTCCTAATGTCCACCAGGATACCTACGAGACTGCACGGTCCTCTCTCTTTCTCTCTGTTTTTTCTTTCTATCTATCTTTCTATCTGTTTGTCTTTCTCTCTTCTGTTTCAATTTTGCTCGCGATAAAAAAAAAAAGTAAAAAACCATCGAGCACTTTCTCATGCGGACGCGCTCGACGCCGAGTGACGCTTTAATTCTTTCGTAAAAACTCCAACAGAAAGAACGAAAACGAAAATGAAAAAAAAAGAAAATAAAACAAAAAGTGACGAAACGGAAAAATCACAAAAAAAAACAAAAAAAAAACCGCCAACTAAAATCCCGAAAGAAGTGTCCTATAAGTTGACGGCCCAATGTTTTGCCACTAGCGTGACAGCTATCGCCTGCGAGTACGGGCCTCCGACAGAGGGACGCCAATCTTGTCCGCAGACGTGGACGTTGAGTTAGACGTCGTAGACAGAAACAATAAACCACCTGTGTGGGATGCGAATGTATACGGCCCCATTCACATCAAAGAAAATGTCACAGTGGGTACTGTAGTGACGTCGGTGAAAGCCAGGTTTGTATGCCACGACATGACCGAGACAAGACACGTGACATGCCGTGCCGTGCCATGCAGTGCTGCCTCTCCTTTCTATCTGTCGATCACTCTCTAACTCTATTTTTTGTCGTCTTTCTTTCTTTTCTTTTTGATCCCTTCTCCATTGAATTACTCACGTATTCTGTACGCCTATCGATTCCCTTTATCCGATTGGGTTTACTTTCCGTTACGCTAGATTCACCTCCTCTCTTCAGCTTAGTTTATGTACTGCTTTTTAGTTCGTTCACTCCCGTTTTGCCCTTCTGGTCCTGTCACATCTCTATTACGTTGAGTCTCTTCCATATCTATACGTTTACTTCTCTTTTTAGATACACAGACACAGGACACACAACCACTTTCTTTCTTTCTGGTTGCGGAAGCACTTATGGTTAAGCGCGGCGCGGTAGATCGCTGATTGCCGGACACTCCTTCTCCTATTACTACTACAACTATTACTTTTACTACTACCACTATCTCTTCCCAACATGTACTGTAGCGAGCCGCGACGATCGCTCTTCGACGATATTTGGAGACAGCGAGTGTTCGATCGGGCGGAAAATTGCTCACAAATGATCGAGCATTGTAATTTTCAAGTGGAGTAAGTTGTAAAACCCTAGCTTTAGACCTAAGACGGGGAGACGTTACTGTTACAATACAATTTATTATTATTTTTCTTGTATGTAGTCTTACTATTAGTAACAGAAATATTCTTGTAGAAAAAGTTTCATTCCAAAGTTTATCTTAAATTACAATTAACTGTCAGGTTTGTTTTTCAGCTACCGTTTTCATCTTGTTGTTGCGAACAAAGGTTTAATAATGCAGCGATCGTTATAAATTGCGCACGTAGCACGACTGCGGAAGAACTAAACTTACTCCACTTGAAAGTCGAACGGGCTTTCGGAGAGCGATGAGAACCTTGTGCTTCTTCAGAGACTCCGAAGACGCAGCGATCGTCGCGCGGATCTTAGCGGACATATGCAATAACAACCATAACTGTGCAAATGCGGAAAGGCGGAGAGGTGATCTAGCTTAGGCGAGGATGTAGCGAGAGAGGTGATCCTGGTGCCTTTTGCGATATTTTCACGCGAATGCAGAATGCAGGTTGCGGAGCGTCGTCGATCGTCCACCCAAGAGCGCTCGCTCAGCCTCCGGCCGCTGCGTGCTGTTTGAGCACCAATTTCGGTGCGAGAGCCCGCGCTATAATTTTGTCGAGTCGGCACCGAAGGTGCAATACGACACACATAATGCGAGCTCGCGCTCGCAAATACGAAACGTTCCAGGCGTTGGCGTTCGGCCGAGACGAGGCTGCCGTCGCGCGAGGCTGCCCAGCGGATGCGGGCGAGAGAGAACCTTCCACTCTACTCTCCGTCGCGAAAAATGCGACTGGGGGGGGGGGACACAACCACATGTACCATGTACTCTCTCTGCCACGAAGCCTTGGCGCCTTAACACTAACGCCGTTGTTTTTTGTTCCCGTTTGTTATACACGCGGTCTGGCCGTAGCGCGAGACGTACAAGCTGGAGGCGATGGCCAAAGACAGGGGCTACCCACCCTTGTCGCGAACGGTGGAAGTACAGATTGACGTTGTGGACCGTGCGAATAATCCGCCCGTATGGGACCACGTAGTGTATGGCCCGATCTACATTAAAGAGAACATGGCCGTCGGGGCTAAAGTTGTGTCTATTAAAGCCAGGTCTGTCACACTGTCAATGCTCCGTGCGGCTCTCTGCACGAACCCGCCCTGCACGCAATCTCGTGGCAGTATTGTTCTTGTGCACGTTAATTGATATTGTGTACGAATCCACATTACACGCATTTCAACTCACATATATACACACACGCATACACATACATGCATACGCAAGCATAACAACGTTCGCAGAGGCAGCGCGCGCGTGTTCGCTCGCTCGTTCGCATATACTCGTAAGCACACACCTGTGTACGCGCGTAGGATTCGTGGGAAACATGATCGGAATGTCGAGTATACAGGGACCACGTTCGCACGATCAGCGTGGAGAATACCGGAAGATCTTCGCCGTAGAATGTGGACGCTGCGATGGTTCTTGATGAACTCAAATGTTAATTAGCGCGATACGCGGTGTACAAATGTCGCATTCGGTGATGCAAGGCATAAAGCATCAAATCGCCCTCAATATTTCAATGAAATTATATCAGAGAAAAGCAGAGGGAAACAATTTTCAGTAAAGATAAAAAATTTCTGTTACTTTTTTTTTACAAGAATTATTTCCTTAAAATTGTCAATATCTAAAAGTTAAATTACAGTTTTTACATCGCTTGTTGTCATCGCAAGTAGCATAAAAATATCTTGCTATATTTTGCTATATCAAGGTAATTACTAAATCCCACTTGTTTACAGATTCTAGCTTTAGCCGCGGAATACCAGAAGTAATAAGAACTATCGCTTCGGATCACGTCCACCCACGTACGAGTGCAAATGCGTTTTTTGTATTTGTTCAAACGCGCGAGATGCATTCACACGGATTAGAACATACCGACGTATTGTCCTCGGCGTGTATGGCCGTTTGCGAGGCGCCGATCTCGTTAGTGTTTCCTATTGTTGGTATTTTATTTATTTATTTTTTTTTGTCAACTTAAACGCGAACGTGCAAATAACGCTGTTATATCGGCTCCGCGCACAGAGCCGATTATATTCCTGAAACGCTTTGTTGCATTTCGACGTGCGGGCACCGAATCGTTTACATCCCCTTGCGAGGGCTTTATAACTAATTTCACCGGCGAGATTTAATTCTTTCCTACGCGCGGATGACGGTAACAAGAAGGCGTCTCTCTCGTGTACGTACACTAAATTGAATAAACGACCACCGACGACCGTCAAAGGCTGCTTTTCATTCGCGGATTGTGCTCTGTAATTCGCGAAGATATAAGAAACGGCACGAGATCCAAGCAGAGCCGCGTCGAGTATCCGTCTCGGCGCATTTATCACCGGAGCGCAATTTCCGGACAAAGCGCGAGTTCTATTGTTGTTTGGTAATCGACACAAGTACCGCTCAGACGTTATTACATTAAGTATTAATTGTTCGTCGCTCATTGTTGCGTAGGTCTCACCGTTAATTCGCACGAACGAAAAGAATAGACACAATGATTTTGCGAGTCAATAGATTGCGCAGTTTCGCGAGTAACAGTCTATATTTATTAATTTATTACGATAAAGAGATGCGAATTAACGTAAGCTGCATCACAACAAATATTGCAATTTTTGACGATAGCTTTCTTCGTGTCATTATTATTTTATGAAACTTAAATAGAATAACCAATTTAAAATTCCGATTGCATATGCGACTTTGCAAAAAATATTCGCAAATGAACCGCGTCGTGTATTATGCGCGATAGCATGCTGGCAAAGAAGTATAGCTAAGTTGATGCAAGCCCGTCTTTTTGTAACGAGCGTACCAAAAACCGCGTCGAAAAAACATTAGTAATGGGTAGTTTGCACTTGACGTACCGCTTTTAACCGGTGGTTTCGCGGAGACACATGGACTTCCGGTGGCAACGGATCGGCTAATTATATATGTGTACAATGCACGAGAGGTGCCAGATGCCACCGTCACGTGCTGTCGGCGCAAGATAGTATATTTTATTGTAAATTCAACATATAACCCCTCTGTACCGTGTCTCTGTCACGCGAATGTTCCGGCAGCTTATCTGGTCCAAACACACGGTTCGACTCTTCGCAAATACAAATAATCGCGAATGCAATTTCAATACAAATAATCTGCAATTGTATATAATAATTGTAAAAAAAGCCATGACTCTCTCTTTTGTTTTAAATTTGAGAGAATGCGCCGATGCATGGAAAAATAATACGTCTCGTACAAATATATTTTTATTGATATTTTATTTTTAATATTTTCATAGAATGTTTAAATAGAAGCGCTTCATAAAAAAAAGCTGTAAATTCTAAAGACATCAATTTCATTTGAATAATAATTGTACAAATTCTCATGACATGTAATTCTCTTTCTAATTATTCTCAACGCGGTAAATATTGTTACATACGTTTCGCATCAAGCTAGACTTTGTCAATTTAAGCATTTAAGCATTTAAGCGAAATTCTCACAGACACTACAAATTCCACGCATCCTAGCGTTAGTGACATCTCGGAGGATTAATTCCGGGGAGTTTACTCGTTAGGACCCCGTTTTAATGGCAGCCGGAAAGCGATGCAACAAAACGTTTCATTATTCGCGTTAGTCCGCCATTTTCCGCCAACTTTCCTCATCAACGTCGCGCGCCCACGCACACGTAGGGATGTCATCAAGCGTATACACATAC